CCCCCTGGGGTCCGTGCTCCCGAAGCTGCGGTGGTGGGAACACCACCCGGCACCGCGAGTGCCAGGAGAGCGCTGGGGGGGAGCCCTGTGGAGACACCGGCACCGAGGAGACAGCTGAGTGCAACACACAGCCCTGCCACGGTGGGCAACGCCGCGGTGGGACGGGTGGTGGGACCATGGGATGGTGGGACCATGGGATGGTGGGATGAGATGGTGGGAGGGTGGTTTGGTGGGATGGTGGGACAGGACAGTGGGATAGTGGGATGATGGGTGGGTGGGATGGTGGACGATGGGATAGTGGGCTCATGGAATGGTGGGACGAGATGGTGGGAGGGTGGGATGGTTGACGATGGGATGGTGGGATTGTGGGATGGTGGGATGTGGATTGGTAGGATGATGGGATCATCGCTACAGAACCTGCCTGGACCCCCAAACTGGGCTGCCCTGGGCCGGCGATGGGGCCACCTGCTTGGCTGAGCTGCGGCAGCAGCGTCTCTGCCCAGACCCCCACCTCTGCCAAGGTACCGGGGGGCAGGAGGGGGGCTGCAGAGGGCTGGGGGTGCGGGGACGGAGGTGGGTGACACCCCTTTCCCGTAGATCTCTGCCTCTGGAGCCCTTGGGGTCCCTGGGGACCCTGCCAGGACCCCTGCGGTGGGGGGTACCGCCTGCGCCACCGCCAGCCCCACCGGCACCCCCCGGGGCGATGCCGCGGACCCCACTCCCAGACCCAGAGCTGCAACACCGACGTCTGCCCAGGTGACACCCCCCATCCCGGCACCCCCATGGCACCCCCGAGGGTGGTTTGGTGGGATGGTGGGACAGGACAGTGGGATAGTGGGATGATGGGTGGGTGGGATGGTGGACGATGGGATAGTGGGCTCATGGAATGGTGGGACGAGATGGTGGGAGGGTGGGATGGTTGACGATGGGATGGTGGGATTGTGGGATGGTGGGATGTGGATTGGTAGGATGATGGGATCGTGGGTTGGTGGGACAGTGGATCGGTGGGATGGTGGGATTGTGGGATGGTGGGACAAAGGGATGCTGGATGGTGGGATGTGGATTGGTAGGATGATGGGATCGTGGGTTGGTGGGACAGTGGATCGGTGGGATGGTGGGATTGTGGGATGGTGGGACAAAGGGATGCTGGATGGTGGGATGTGGATTGGTAGGATGATGGGATCGTGGGTTGGTGGGACAGTGGATCGGTGGGATGGTGGGACGGTGGGATCATGAGATGGTGGGATTGTGGGATGGTGGTTTGGTGGGATGGTGGGACAGGATGGTGGGACAGGATAGTGGGATGGTAGACAATGGGATAGTGGGATCATGGGATGGCAGGACGAGACAGTGGGATGGTTGGACAGTGGGGGGATAGTGGGATCATGGGATGGCAGGACGAGACAGTGGGATGATGGGACAGTGGGATGGCAGGCAGTGGGACAGTGGGATGGTGGTTTGGTGGGATGGTGGGATAATGGGATGGTTGGATGATGGGATGGTGGGACGGTGCCAGAGCCATGCCCTGTGCCACGTGCAGCCTGTCCCCCGGGCGAGCTTTGGCAGGGCCCCGACCCATCGACCGGCTGCGAGCGGAGCTGCCGGGACATCTCGGACGAGCCACCGGGCAACTGCAGTGGCCCCCCAGCCCCCGGCTGCACTTGCCAGCCCGGCCACCACCGCAACAGCTCCGGCCACTGCGTCCTGGCCGCCCTCTGCGAGTGCTGGCACCGGGGGCAGCTCCATGAGGTGAGGGGTGCCTGGGGGGGTGGGGGGTGTTGGGGGGTGCCCCCTTGCACCCCCCGGCCGAGCTGAGCCCTGTCCCACCCCCCTTGGCCAGGCTGGCAGCGAGTGGCAGGAGGAGTGTGAGACCTGTCGCTGCCGGAGCGGGCAGGCTGCCTGCAGTGCCCACTGCCCCCCGCTCGCCTGCCCCGAGGTGTGGGGGGCTGCTGGGGAGGGGGCAGATG